CACACACACACACACACACACACACACACACACACACACACACACACGGCTCCTTTTAAAAATAAATAACAATGACTCCTCACTGGCTACCGGATTTGGAATTCCATACACCTTAAAATTCCCAGTGACTTGGCCACATTGATGCTGCAACCTCATCTCACACTATACTATAAAAGCCTCCAGCCCTGGGCAGGAAACGCTATGAGACATCCCCTCATACTTCTGGAACTTTGCTTTGCCCTCCCACCAAGGTGCCCACCCTTCAGGGTCTAATCTGGGCCCCATTTCTTCCAGGAGGTTCAGTTTGTACCTTGTAGCCTCCACAAAATGCCTCCATCCCAGGACTTACGCTTCTGCACCCATACATTTAACGGGCTTTTGATCACACACTCCCTTGCTGGAAATCCTTCCCTACTCTCAGCATGCACAGAATAAGGTGGAAAATTCCTCAACAGCCCTTCCTGAGCTCACCCTGCCAAACTCCTTCAGGCCAGGGGAGAGGGTAGCAAGAGATTTCAATCAGGTGAGCTGTGGTGAGGAAGGTAGGGGCTTCAGACAGAGGTGACAGAAATATGAGTTACTTCTAGAGTCTCCATTCCCTGGACAAAATCGTAATAACCCCATGTGAATATTGCCAGACACAATTAAATATTGCAGTGGGATTATATTCATCCTAAATAATGCCCATAAAGCTCTGTTAAAACAAGCAGACAGGGGCTTCCCTGGTGGCGCAGTGATTGAGGGTCCGCCTGCCGCTGCAGGGGACACGGGTTCGTGCCCCAGTCCGGAAGGATCCCACATGCCATGGAGCGGCTGCGCCCGTGAGCCATGGCCGCTGAGCCTGCGCGTCCAGAGCCTGTGCTCTGCAATGGGAGAGGCCACAACAGTGAGAGGCCCGCGTACCGCAAAAACAACAACAACAACAAAAAACAACAAGCAGACAGTGGTTGCCATAAATTAGATTACAAATGAAAAAGTCAATCATTGTTAGTAACATTTTGCCTTCATTGATCTGAGATATTTCAAACTCTTTAAACCAGGGATCAACCCTTTTCCAGAAAAGGTCAGATAGTAATTGTGGGCCACATATGGTTTCTGTTGCAAACCCCCTAGACAACTTACTGGACAAAAGAAAAAAGCTCTTTTGTTTAAGTCTTTAGTTTATTCTTTCCTGCCTCTAAGAACATGAAATATTATACTGGCCACTGTTTCTAACATAAACCCTGGCACCCCAGAATTTCAGATCCAGCTGCATGGGATGTGTCTTTGCCTGTGGTTTAAATCGGCCTAATCTACAAGGATCACTTATTCATCGGGGGTTATGCAATTCTCTGCTTTAGAGAAAAGACAGATGCCAAGTCCTTTCTGCTGGTAAAATACCCATTGTCACTATACTTTGAGGCCATCAGACCAAGCCACAGGCCTTAACTAGTGTTTATAGCCTCATAGTCTATTCAGCTCTGATGGGAACACCTGGAAATAATACCTCAGGGACAGCTCCAGGCCCCAGTCGCTTAGGTAGCCACAGACCACACCATCAATACCTAATATTTACAACTTCTATGAAGCTGCAAAAAGAGTTTGGGTTCAATCAGGTCTCACTGTGCTGAGAATTACACATAAATATCCTAAGCAGACCAACTGCTGCCTATAAAAATGCAGATTTGCAGCAAAGACAGGCAGGGATAATTATTTGCTTCATCAAAAAATCCAAAGTAAGATTCCTTTTCAAGTTTCTTTTCTTTGAATTATGCAATTTATAAATATTTAATGTTTACATATGTAACCCTGAAGGAAAGTGTCTATCGGTTGAAAGGAAAGGAAATTAACATTTGTTGAGTGTCTACATTGAGGCAGGTGTTTTAGAAGTGTTCTTCCATTTTATCCCTTCCACAACTTGTGTGTTATTCAATTTTATCCTTTCTACAACTTGCAAGAACTTTATGGAATATTATCGCTCTTTCGAGATAAGGAAAGAGGCTCAGGAGAGTTAAGGAACTTGCCCGAGGTCACACAGCCAGGAAGTGGAGAAGTCAGAATTCAAGTCTTGACTCGCCCAAAGCCACGGTTTTGCCCTTTCCTCTGCATATGGTACCCAGAACACACTCATCCTCCCCCACCCTGTGCTCACCTCCAGACAGAGATGAGGGAGAGGTCTTGTCACCGTCCAAGAATTTAGACAGAAGGGACCTCACAAGCGACCATTTCTAATTAGACTACTTCCCTGAACATGTCCACGGGGGCACCAAACTTTATTTGGCTGCTGGAGCTGGTGAGAGCTTAATGGCTCAGCATTAAATTTTAAATTAAAAATAAATAAATAAAAATGGAGAAAGGTTGATTTTATAGCCTGAAAGGGAGGGAACAGAGAAAAGACAGAGAAAGCCCCCCAAAAAAGAAGAAAGGAAAGCAAAAGAGACAAAGTGTCAGCTGAGCTCAGTTACAGCAATGCCCAAGACTTCTGAAAAGCAGGTCCATCTAGTACCCAGTTT